ATCCTACCTTCAAAGAGCTCCCTAGTGGGGAAATAGACAAACGGATTATTTCAACACAATGGAATAAGGGCTATATAAATATAAACAGACAGTATAGGAGCATATAGCAGTAATCCCTAACCCAGAACAGAGGGCAGCAGAGGGAGAATGGGGCTTTACATGGACAAATCAGGAAATGAGAAGGTGGGACTAGAAACAGTATGTGCTAAGAATAGACCTTTCTAGATTTGGTAATATATGAGTTGCATTTTCAAGAGTGTATATATATGCAAGTGAAAGAAAGTTTAGAAAGTCTCAGAGAGAGAGAGAAGGGTGTGCAAAGAACAGCGGCATAAATATGGTCTGCTTAAGGAAGTGCACACTGTTCAATACAGCTGAAGCATAAAAGAATTAAAAGAGTGATAGGTCAGTAAAGCTAAATCACTGGCTTCAAGGCCCATGCAATGAAGTAGTTTCAATTTACCCTGAAAACAAAGGGATAGATTTTTAAGCAGAGAAATTACTTTATTATATTTGTATATTTGAATAATATTTAAATGAAGTGTTGTCCATTGTAAATAAATAAATATTTAAATGACGCTGGCAGTAGTTGGAAAGAAAAATCGTAGGGGTGCAATAAAATGGGGAGTAATAATAAAGGCAGGGCGATGAGTTTGGAGATTGTGAAAGTAATCCAAGTCTGAAATGATGGGAAAGTATTATGAGATTAGATTTGAAGCAGAGAGATCAGTTAGGGATTTATTATGATATAATATTCCAATAGTAAATGGCTAGGGATTGAAAACAATGGCTGTGGGATTGGAGATAAAGGGAAACATGAGAAATATTAAGGCAGTAGGACTGACAGGATTGGTGTCCTGTTGGATGTTATGGAGAGACAACTTCCAGGTCTCTAACTGGTCAACTCTGGCAACAGAGGTCCCTAGGGCCAGCTTCATGGACATTCGACGTGTGCAGTCACCTAGAGTCTTGCATGCAAAAGGACCTCATACTTGGCTTAATGCTCTACTGTCAGTGTCTTAAATTCTTAAACATTTTGAACAATGATCCTTACATTTTCATTCTTCATGGAGCCCCTCAAATTATATTGCCGGTTCTGAGAGATACTATTCACCACCACATGGAATAGACAAGGAAGATGAACTCTGTTCTTATAATGAGAGAGTATGTGATAAGTACAGCTTGGACCTGTCACTAGGCAGTGAGCTCTCTGCTTAAGATCTGGAGCTAGTTGCTGAAGGTTTTATAAGCCTTTGCCCCTGCCTTAATGGAAAGTATTTAATGTATGTCTTAAATGTGTTAAAATATGTCATATGAGGTCTCTTTAGAATAGTCAAATGAAGATGTCTAGTAGATGGCAGGAGAGATCCACCTAGAAACAAAATGTTGGGAGTCATCAGCCTAGAGATGATGACTGAAGTCTTTGAATGGGTGCGATCACCCAGGGAGAGGGAGCAAAGTGAGAAGAGAGGGAAGTCGAGACCTGATCTGTGGAGATCACCAACGGTAAGCTGTAACCAGAACAACGAGAGAGAATGACCAAGAAAGGGAAGCCATGCCTCTAGTGGTCATGAGTGATGACTTTACAGTCAGATTGTGCTCCAGGCCTGACTCTACCACTTACAAAAAGTAGGACCTTAGGCTTTTACTTAACTTTTCCAGGCTACAGTTTCCTCAACTGAATTATAGGAATAATAATAGTACCTAACTCCCAGGGCTGTTATGAGGGTTAAATGAGATACTCCATGGGAGATGCTTACCATAGGACTTGGCACAGAAGAAAAATTAATGAGTGCTCACTATTAGTTTTTTCTTATTATTTTTAAAGTACAATCAAAAGGAATATAAGTCATTGGAGATGTCAAGAAAAGAGTTTAAAAAAAAAGGCAAAATACCAGATGCCTGAACAGTTAATCAAGGAAAGGACTAGAAAGTCCCAATGGATTTATGAACAAAGAAGTAATTAATGAGCTGTACAAGAACAGTCTCAGTGTACCAGTACGATTCAGGCTGATAGCTGTTAACAATCCAGATTTTGGACTTCATCATTTTGAAACTGAAACTAAGTATATCAGATGCTGCCACAAGTAAACACATAAATGATATCCTAAAAATTTCAGTTGTGAACATCTCTTTTCCTTTTTCTGAATACTCCTTGATCTATTTCCAAAAGGCCCTAATACCAAGTCTAAGAGAAATGGAACCCTTGTTATGTACCAAAACTACTGTAGTTCATGGGAAAGCTGATTAGAGAACCCAGGACTCTGAAACTCCAAGCCCTACTGTTAGGAGAGGAAGTTTCTCGGCACAATTATGTTTAACCAACTTCCTCTTGGTAAATAAGAAATATGCTAAGTGGAGCTTCATGGGGGGTGTGTGTTCTTCATGGAGGCCATTGTGTTCTTTACTGTAGAGCAAATCTCTGAGGCTGGGCCTAAAGTGGTACAACAGAGCCCAGCACAAACTTCTACCTGGCACCAAGACCCCAGTTCTAAAAATACAGAGTCCACAATGAGACTAAGAGTTCATTCCTTTGACAAATATTTATTGAGTGCCAGACACTAGACTTGCTGCTGAAGGAAAATACAAAGTTGGGTTATATATGCTTCTTCAAGAAGCTTACAATCTAACAGAAAAGATGAGACAAATATATTCGTAACAATCAAATCAGATAGAACTTGAAATGTGACGTGAAAGAGGTCCAAGGTGATTGTAAAATTTTGCACAGCTAGAAAGGTGTTTAGCAGTCAGGTGATGGACATCCTTGAATGCCAGGACAAGGAAATTTGAACTTTTTTCAATTTACAGTGAGGAGCTCTTGAAAAGTTTTATGGCAGGAGCTGAGATGTTCGCTGACCCACAAATTCCATGGATCTAAACCTTGGGAGCAAGAAAAGTCAAGACTGAATGTGCAGACATGGGAACCTAGGCATAGAATTAAGATCAGATGGAGATATATAAGAACACTGAGGTAGAGAAATGGTTATAACAAGGCTGCAAATATCTATACGTTAAGGGCTGAACTAGAAAAAAGTGTCAGCAACTGAAGGAGAAAAGATATAGTCAGAATGATAGGAAAGAAAACCAGAAAAACATAATATTATAAAAGGATTTCCAGAATATGGGGAAAAGAGCATGAGAAAAATAGCACTTAATGGTTATCGGATAAGTGCTTCACTTATGGTTTCTCATTTGTTCTATTTCCTGCAGTTGTAGAAACACAGCCACTTGTTAAAAAGCCACAGAGCTAAGAGGTGATGGAGTAGAGATTCATGCTCAGGCAGGCCTGGCTGAGTTAACAGTGTGAAAGTTCTGGGCTGAGAGGCAGCAAGTCAGAATTTTAGTCCCATTCCGATGTCAACACTCAGGAGGACATTTGATAAGTCATTTCACTCCCATAAATCTCGGGTTTTTCATATGTTTAATGAGGGTGTTGAACTAAATAATTTATTTTATAATGTTCCTTTCAGTTCTGATATTTTATGATTCTTTTATACTGTTAAAGAAAATTCTCGAGAGGGTGCAGATGAAATGGATGAAGAATAACATGACTAGCATAAACAAAAATAACTGACACATTTTTTCATCTCAGATTGAAGGAAAGAACAAGAAGATGATTAAATACATAAAGTTTGAGAAATTGGAAATACATAAGAATGGAATAGAGGAGTAAGAACCTGAACTTTGAGACTGGCTGGATATTGGGCTGAGGGGAAGTAGATAACTGAGGAAGGCTCTTGGGTGTCTGATGAACCATAAACCAATTAGACTACTTTTGACAAATGACATTCAGAGCTGAACCCTCCATGGAAACTGTTAAATGAATTATCAGAGCACTTCCTGCTCTTAGAGTTTATATTTATCTTCGAGAAAAGGTGAAAGGAGAAGATGAGTATAGATAAATTAGCTTCCCAATAAACTTGTTTACAACCTCACGACCGAAGTTCAGGGTCACTGGGCAAAAGGCAGAGTCTTCAAAATTTCCACAGTGCAAATCTATGGTCTGGGACTCATCACTGGGCTCCATATTAAAGTGAATTCAAATTGTGATGGCACCTTAGACAGCCCAGCAGCCTGATCTAGTGAACAGAGCAATGGCTTGGAAATCAAGATACTTCAGGTCTAGTCCTCACTCTGCTAATAATTAGCGGAGTGACAGTGGACAGGGTTATTCACATGCGTGTGCCTTGTTTGCTAATCTGTAAAATGGATCTGGTAGTACCTATCTCACGGGTAAAATCAGCCATCTTTGTGGTAGGTTCACAGAAGGTGTTTGATAAACGTCGTGGGTTAAATCAAATGATCTGTTCAGGCTCTTCTTAGGTTTGTAAGTATCCACTACCTCATTTGTTAAACTTAAAAATATATATATCCTCCTTGAATGTGATTGAAGATTTCAAAAAATGATTAAATATTATTTCTTAAAGTAAATCAAAGCAATCATAATCTTAGAATATGCTGTTCAAACTACATGCAGAACCTCTCTGAGGTTCTGATATGCATTTAGAGTCCTTCTCCCCTCTGTACTCTTCACCAGTCACTGAAATATGTGTCTAAATGTAAGTCACTTCTAGTTTCAACAGTTTACTCCTTTGGGATAAATACTCAGTGGTCAAAGTTCATCGTGTACCAGATTCCTGTCAGGGTATTTGGGATCAGCCGTGACCAAAGATCTGATTCATTTCACCTTTTCCAAAGTTGAACAGATTTGTCTCTGGGTTTAAAACCAATCTTCTCATATTACACGTGTATGAAAAGAAAGGAGGAATTTTTTTCTGAGGTGGTTTTGTTTGGTTGTTTATTTTTCTCAGCAGTCTTTAATTGTTTACTCAGCCTTGTGTCAGAGAAAGTCCATGCAGACTGCACTTCAACCTGAGGCCAAGGTTCTCCCCTGTTGCTGAGACACTGAATAACTAACTACAGTGAAAAGATGCTATTTCGAAGCTCTCTTAACCTGGGACTTTGATATATTTGGAGCAGTTGTCTCTTCAGTAGCAGCTTCATGCAGATACTTCAGACAAATTCATGGAGCCTCAAAGTCAGAATTCGAAGACAACACCATCATTGTCTTTAGGACGATTTCACATTTCTGAAGATTATGGCTTCCTTCTTCCAAACCCTCTGGTAAGGATAGAGCCTTGGACCAGCTCAGAATTATGTTTCTTGAGATACTGATTTGTTTGTTTGTTTTTTTAAGTTATGTGGTCCTTAAGAGAGATGCCATATAAACACCAAGTCCTTGACCTGGGAAAAATGCTACAAACAATGCCCACTGTAATTACCAATGAAAGAGAAATACAGCAACAGCAAAGGATAGTTGAAATGGAATGTTTTAATGCCAGTTTGTTTTTAATAGGTTGTCAGTCAGTCCAGTAAACTTATGAGCAAATCTGTAGTTAAAAAAAAAAGACAGAACTTAGATAAAGATCAATTATATGGGCAAATCAGTTTACCTTGACTTGCTAGTGGGAGAGAAAAGAGAACACAAGGGACATTGGGTGCTTGCAAGATGGTAGGAGGGATTCGATATTCACAGAAATTGCTGAGAAGAGAAAGGAACTCTTGAGAACAAACAGGACCCGTTTCTAAATTCTACTTAAGGTTCAACCTGTAATGGAACTCTGTTTCTTCAGTTAACCCTTATTAACATTGTTTACTCTTTGAATGTGGTCTGACTCTTAGAGTGTTAAAATTTTAAGAGTTCTTAAAAACTACCTGGTCCCCCCTCCTTTCTTTCACATTTGGGCGAGCCAAAGTTCAGAGGAAGTGGCTTGCCCAAAGTCATATTGGTAGCAAAAACAGAACTAGTACTCAGGACTCTTGAAGTCTTTTTTCTACTATACCAAAAATAACAGCCAACAGGTGGTGCAAGCAGTTAAGCACTCACGCTCTGCTGCAGCAGCCCGGGGTTCGTTGGTTCAGATCCCAGGCGCGAACCCGACGCACCGCTTGACAAGCCATGCTATGGCGGCGTCCCATATAAAGTAGAGGAAGATGGGCACGGATGTCAGCCCAGGGACAGTCTTCCTCAGCAAAAAAGAGGAGGATTGGCAGATGTTAGCTCAGGGCCAATCTTCCTCACACACACAAAAATTAATAATAACGGCCAAGACTATTCAGCTAAGAATCTAGGGATCCAATGTTGCAGTCATTGCAATAACTTATTAGATCCAATTTTTCCCCACATGGGCCTAATTTGTCATTTAACTGTGATTAAAGAGTGGTCTGGACTTCAATGAGCTTTTATTGAATACCTATTCTGATGCTCATTTACTTCTGAGTGTTACTAGAGGAATATAGAGGAAGATGGGATCTATTATCTGGTCCCAAAAGCTCTCTGTAGAGCTCTTAGTTGTGAGATCAAGTTGCAGATATGCAAGTAACTTAAGCATTAAAAGTAATGACTTCAGGGTATTATGCAGAGTAGGCTCGTAGCCCAGGGTACTGGAATATGTTCTCTGACACAGCCACTAGGATGACCAAGAGTCTCCATTTGCTAGGAACTGAAGGGGTTCCCAACATCTGCTACTTTTAGTGCTAAACCAGGAATGTCTTGGGAAAACCAGAATGAATGAGTCACCCTAACTTGCAGTTACTAACTCTTGTGATCTTGAGTGAATCACAAGAATTGCCTGACCCTCAGTTTTCACATCTATTGGATGGAGATCTAGTGCCACCCCCACTGGATTGATGTGGAGCATCAAAGCACTTTGATAAATCCAGTGTAAGGACTGGAAGCCAGTACCCCTGACCTTCAGTCCAGTGCTGGTTAAAAACTCCATTCTGTGCGTGTAACTTGATTTGGGAATATTCTCATCATCCCTAGTTCACTAGGAAGAGAAGGTCAATAGGCTAATGTGCTCTTATTGGGATTAAATATGTACAGTGAGCCGAGGAAAAATAATAATATAAAGTATGTAAACATTGGGTAGGGCTATAATTACTGAGTTCTCCTCTTTGTTGTTTGCTTTTTCATTAATAAGAAAACCAGATGAGAAACAATAACGACATCAAGAGCTTGTGAGGCTCTGAGTCAGATCATATTTGCTCTGTGACTTGGTTGATGGACAACCTTTATAAGAAATTTCATTCCTGAGTTCTTTTATAAAAAACATGCCCTGGAAAACTAGGTGTACTCTATTATAGTCATATGTTAGACTTCTGAAAATGTAAGTCGTTTCAGTTTTAGTTTTCTTTCATTTGTGTGAGAATTTTAAACATGTTCCTTTCTGGGAAGAGGTGGGGAAGGATGTTTTTATCAGAATCCGCTGCAGGTTGCTCCACCCATCAAGAGAGACTCTGTCAACAGCATCACCAGGCAGCAGCAGTGTTGCAACTGACCACAAATTGGGAAGTATCAGTCATCGACTTCGCTAAGGGCATGAATAGGCTTTCCTTTCCTTTAGTTTAAAGGCAAGTGATGGGAGGGCTGTTCCTTCATGTCAATCTGCCCAAAGATGCTCTTTCAGCAAGCTGAGCTGCTTACCATAAATACTTACTTCTAAGTCACTCTGAAGAAAACACGGCCAAGCTAATGAATATGTAAATATTCTGGCTTTGGGGGAGGAGGCTGACTTGGTTTCAAATGATCTACCCCACTGTTTCTATAAACCTGAATATTTCCAGGTTCCAACATTTCATGTTGGACTCATGTCCATAAATATGCCACAAAAATACTTCGCCAGATCATGTGGGGTGTGTGTGTGTGTGTGTGTGTGTGTGTGTGTGTGTGTGTGTGTGTTTGGGGGAGTGGGGAAAGTAATTTTTCTTTAGACATAAAGAATAAGAGGAAATTAGTTTGGCAGGAAAGGAGGGGCCAAGGTAGATTATGTCAGGAGATTAGACTGGAGCAGAACTGAGAAACCTCAAACACTTGGCTCGGGAATTTGGATTTCACACATCTGGTAAATGACGTGATACAACTGGCATCTGAATATTTTCCTAGCAGAATGTTAAGTGCAGGGTGGGTCAGGGTAGTCGTTCCTGGACTGCACACCAAAACTAGTTAGAGAGCTTTAAAAAACACCGATGGCAGAGCCCCCAGAACAGTTAATTCAGAACCTCTAGCCTCACTGGCTCATTACTTGAAAACCACAGAATATACAGAGGACGGTGCAGGTCCAGGTGAGAGAATAGGGGCTACACTTAGCAGGCTGGCTGTGGAAATCAAGTTGCCATGGCTTTACACAACGCTGAGAAGGGCTTAGAAGTAGTTTAAATACAAAAACAAAGGAAAGGGAAAATTTTAAATGTGCCTTACAGCAGAAGAAAAAGACTGGTGCAAATAGTCATAGGGACATTGGGAACTTTATTCTATATAGGGATCAAGCAACTGTTTAGGAAAAATAAATACATATATATTCTCACGTAGAAATTCAAAGCGCTTGACAGAAGCAGTGGACTCCAGCTGCTTAGAAGGAAGAGTAGAAAAATAATTGCCACAGGAGGCTGTAGTTCCCAGACAGAAGGTGTAGGTGGGAAGAATTCAGATATTTCCCTGAGACATTATTGCCATCTCTGCTAGCGTCTGGGGCATACCTGATCATGTTGAATGCAGGCTTGCGGCAATGACAGTAATACAGTAGAGATAGAGACAGAGGTCAGCTTTCATAATAGTTAATGTAGATTACTAAAGAAAAATGCATTGGGGAGGGGGAGGTTATATGGGAAATGGAATTCTGTGCCAAAATTAAAGAACCAAGAAAGGTGAGTAGAGCCAAAGGGGGCATGGACAGTCAGGGATAAGGAAGTGGGAGCGGGGACAGCCAACACAGTCCTCTGGAAACTGGAATTTTAAACAACAAAGCAACTTAGAGTTTTCTCACTCAGGATATCCAAGCTGTAGAGGAACTTGAGAAAACACAGGGAGAGGTGAGCTGATAGATCCTAAGAAAGGATGTAAAAATTGAGCATAGGAAAATCCGTATCTACTACTTTCAGTCAAAATGAAGTGCAGGGAGTGTATTAGTTTCCTATGGCTGCTGTAACAAATTACCACAATTTTGGTGGCTTAAAACAACAGAAATTTATTCTGTCAGAGTTCTGGATGCTAGAGTCTAAAATCAGGGCGTCTGCAGGTCCACGCTCCCTCCGAAGACGGCAGGGGAGAACCCGTCCTTGCCGCTTCCATCTGCGTGTGGCTCCAGGCGTTCCTTGCTCGTGGCCGAATAACTCCGCTCTGTCTCCATCTTCTCGTGGCCTTCTTCTCTGGGTCTGTGTCTTCTCCCCTCCTGTCTATGTCTTCTCCTCTAAGGATCCACCCAAATCCAGGGGATCTCATGTTTCATTAACTTGTTACATCAGCAAAGACCCTTTTTCCAAATAAGGTCATATTCACAGTTTCCAAGTGGCCATATCTTTTCTGGAGCCAGGGGTGCGGACCATTCAACCCACTACAGAGAGTGTGGGGAAAAGACAGAGGATTAGAGGGAGGGAGGGACCTGGGCAACGAGAACTAAAACATCATCTTGTCTTGAGATTCCCAAACCTGACCATACAACCATGGGAGGGTGAAAGATAATGCAAAGCAGGATGCAAAGTATAAAATGATCAAGGAGTCCTGTGGACACAGTTAAATACTGCCTAGTTTTGTCAGCATAATGTTAGCTTTATTCACTGGTATGAGCTTGACCTTCTGAAGAAAAGTCATGTCTCATGCTGTAAAATTGCAGCTTTAAGGCCAGAGGAAAGCTAGAATATGAGAAAACACTATATGGGCTAAGGGTAGGCACTATGTTAGCCCACTTGAGCTCAAGCTCCAGCCTTGTTTTTCATATGTGACCACAGTAATTCTGTGACCAAGTCACACGGGAAAAGAGTCCTCTCCTGCATAAGGACCAATGTGAACTCTGTACTCCCAGACTGAAGCTTTTGATAGAATAATACCAGAACAAAAGATTTGGGCACCCTAGAAGGAGTAATCAATTTCGTGCCAATTAAAAGTTGTAGTCTTGAGCCGGCCTCATGGCCTAGTGGTTAAGCTTGGCATCCTCCACTTTGGCGGCCTGGGTTCAGTTCTTGGGTGTGGATCTACACCACCCGTCAGTGGCCATGGTGTGGCGGCGACCCACATGCAAAATAGAGGAAGACTGGCACAGATGTTAGCTCAGCGCAAGTCTTCCTCA